GCCTGAGTAATGGCCATGTTATTCAAAACGTTCAACTTGAATCCTTCAAAGTACAGAAAGCAAATGTGTTGTGAGCACCTCTCAGTTGCAGCTGCCCACGATTCACTGCAGTCAGAGGTGGAGGTCTTCATCATAATCATCTGAGTTCTGGAGAGTCCCGAAGTGCCACCAGAACATGAGTCCGCTCTAAAAGAGCCCAGTGACTTCCTCAAAACAACACCCGTCTTTGCATCTCAGGAGAGAATGACCTGAGTCATCAGCTCCATGTCTTTTAAGCAGCGTCTCCTGCTTAAAAACATAACAAACTCTCAAGTTCTCAGCAGGCCTGATGTAACTACTTTTCTTTAACTCACCCACCCTACTGGGAAGCAGCCTAGCACATGCATCCAGTTTGCCTAGTGAGGGAAGTACGCACTAGTTGTATGTAGCAGTGGGTTTTGTAGGTGTCTATGGGGAAGGTAACCACCCCATATGCAATTAGCTCTACGCAGGTGTTTTGGGTCTTGGTGTGTGATTTGTGGGAAGGAAAACCAGGCTGGGCTTCATCTATGGGCTGTGACTACAGTGGCCTGCTGCTGTCTGCAAAACTGAGCTGTGTGAGCTGAAGGGAATGAGGTCCCTTTGTCCTGCAGAGCAGCTCTCGAGGGGAATAAAACACGCAGGCAAGACGTTATTTAAAAACATGTTAGAAACCTGAGAATTTCTGTATCGCTTCCACTGATTTCTGTGGGAAAATGACTTTGGTCAGAGCCAAATGGAATCAAAATAGGCTACAAACCTATTGATGATTTTGCACAAGCCTCTGAAAATACAGCTGAGCCGATGGAACGTGAGAGACGGGGAGGATCCGGACACTGCTGAGTGGAGACAGCCTGGTAGTTTGCTGTGAGGGGATATATTGAGGTAACTTCTGCTTTGACTTGAACAGTTGAGTCCCATGGACCCTGTGACTGCAGTGCTATTTAAGTGGTTCCAGTCCTGCAGATCCATGTCCAAGTTGCCTCGTTTCTCATGCGTTTGCCTCTTTTAAGCTGTAAAAAAAATATCCTTGGGCTCCTTTGATCCTTCTCTGGCTTCTGCATATGTTTGTTTTTGAAGTGGTAACATTTCTTAGGTGCCTGTTCAATTGTCAGGCGTGCAGTGGCTGGAATGAAAACTCAGCTGGACCTAAGAAATTCCTATTTTGGAAAGTCCTTGCCATGCTACAAGTAGTCACCAGACTAATGGCATCTGAGAGCAGCTCTGCTTGGGTGGTGAGGCCAGAAGGAAGAAGTGCAGTAAGACCACCACAGGAATTTGACCTAGGAAAAAAAGTCTTATTCTGGAAAGCTTTGGGACTTAAGCAGGCCTGCTAGTGAAGCTTCTCCTCTATCTTCGCACAGTTTTATTTACAGCTCAAAATAAAGAAAGCAGTAGTTCTTGACTGGTACTGTTAATGTATACACTGCATATCAAGTTTATTGCAAAGTCTGTTAGCAAGCTACCAGCCTAGTTTTTAATCTGCAGATAACCTTACTCTCATTTATATGTTTGGGCTGTATTACTTTGCCCAGCGTAGGCACAGCCATTGGAATCCATCCAGTTCACCTAACAACTTTCATTAAAGAAAATTGCCCTTGTAATAAAAATTACTCAGTGTGACAAGATTCCATATATTTTTTAAAGCCTCATAAAATTTTGTAGCAGTTAATGCCACTTGTTTGTTTTTTGAGATTTTCTTTTAAAAGCAAAAATTGACTTAATTGTGACAATATTTATAATAGAATGAAATAAATATTTTCTGTCTAGGCATGTGGAGGCCAGGCTGAGGGGGCAGGAATAGCACAGGGATAAGGAAATAAGTAAATCTTGTCTTTGAAAAGTACGTTTCACTGTTGTTTGTGAGATTGCATGGAATTCTGTGACTCTTTAGTAAGGGAAAGTAGATATAATAAAATTTGCTCACTTGCAGTTCATGATACATAAGTCCTAACCTTTTAAAATGCAATGATCAAGCACGGATTTTTCTGCAGCAATCGGGAACAGCTTGTCTGAGCATCATCCCTCCTGGCCACAAGGACAGCACTTGGTACGTGTGTCCCCTGCATCAGTGAGAATACATGGGTGCTGATGGAGTACCTGTAGCTTTTCCTTCCTTCTTCCAGCCATCAGAAACATAAGAAGATTCCTAATGTGTGAGACATTTCTTACCAATGTAGTGTAGAGCAGGCTACTCACTGCAAGCATGAAATGCTTTGGATTTTTTAACTATGGAAATGTAGTAAAGAAGTGCTAAAGAACCAAACCCAGCATTTGGGAATGGAATGGAAAGTCAGTAGATCAGAGTTCCTGCTGTCTCTTTGTAGAGTACTCACCTGAGAAAACCCTGTGGCTCCTATGTCTTCTTTTCTCCTGCTACGTTATAAAAATGGGGAAATCTCCCAGCTCTTAACTGCTTGTTCATTAATAGATATAAAGCAACCTGTCTTCAGTGAGTGTGTAGCAGAGCAGCCATCGTATTCACAACAAATATGGCCAAGTCCAGTGACTTTTTGTTTACTTGCTGGTGTGTGTCTTCCTGCGTGAGACCAGATCCAAAAACATGCTAGTGTTTCTTAGTAGCAGGCTCAGCTGGGCCACACTCATACCCCTGGAGGAATCGGTTAGGCTGCCTTCAGGTCTCACCACAGATGAAATTGCACAACAAACCAGGACAGTTCGGAAAGGTTTATGATGCCAAAACGTAGGATGACCAGCACACAGGTGGAAGACAAACCTCTGGGATCTTTCACATCTTGTTTCTATCAAAGAGTCGCAAAAAGTCTATATATATTTTCCATTGTTTGGAGCTTTGGATTTTTTTAAGACTTTGCAGTGCTTTGTGGGTCTGGTTTAGATAATGTAAATATTGTGGGGTCTGATCTTGCAAGTGCTACAGTATCTGTGGCTACTGTTAGGGGAATCAGACCCAGAGCTTCTCCTTTATTATAATGAGCACTGGCAGCCACTTTCATGTTTATCTTGTCTCGGGTAGATTAACTAAGGTGTACCTCCTGGCTTGGGCTTAGCTGATTTATGCTTGAAGTGAGGATTGTTTTTTCTGTTTTCTGATGAACTAATCTTTTGTGATAAACTAACAATGGCAAGGGATGAGCTGTGATGTTAAAGAACAGTGGTGGTGGCTTTTCTTTTTTTTTTTTTTTTTTTTTTTGCTTTTTAAGTCTACCCACTGCCTCAAGAGGAAGGCAGCTGCGCTAATAATATATCTAATCTCTGTGGAAGGCCCTTATTTGAAAAATCTGTAATTGAGTGGACAAAATTTCTGGTTGCTTGAGAGGATCTATTCAGAAAAGACTTGAAAAGGATGAGGGAAAAGCGTGCTAGACAGCAAGAAGTACTAAAGGCTCTATTGAGCAGGGAAACCTATGTAGATATTGTGGGACAATTAGACTTGTCAGGCAAAACACTAAAATGCATTTGTGAGCAAAAAATCCTGGGGAATGTTAAAGCAGGCTTTGAAAAAGGCAAAAAGCTTGCTAGGAATACCTCAAAAGCAAAGAAGTTGATTTGGGTGATCTTTGAAGGAAGGTGGGTGATGACTGCTTCAAAGAGAAGGTGCAGAACGTGTGTTAGTCATAGGGATTTTGCCCGTTTTTCCCCTCCAGTAGCTAAAACCCTGAAGCACAATTGCTGGGTCAGCACCATGTGGGAGAGCTCGTAACTTAGTTAAGTTTATCTGCTCCTTTGCTCTTTTTAGAGAGCTATTCCAAAACCCCGGCTTCCCTGGTGCCCTGTTCGGGCGTGCTTTCACACTGTCTGCCTTTTCAGCCCCTACCTTTCAGCCTGCTTTGGAAGCCAAGGAAGACTCTGCTATACAGAATGGAATGGACTTGTTCTGTATAATGAAGGCAAATAAACCTGCGAGGTTATTTGTATTTGAATGATTGCCTCTGTTCAAGTTTGTTGTGTGAGATTTTAAGATTGGTTAATTGCTTAGATTTGACAAACTAGCTTTTGCCTAGCAAGACTTATTTCCTTGATCAGTCGCTGATGGCAGCTGATAATATGGTGCATTAATGAACAGTCCCTGGCACGCTGTGAATGGGGTTTGCTGTCAAGTAAGTCAAAACTTCAGATGCCTAAAGATCAACCCATTAGTGATTAGGCCAGCGTCAGCTCTTAGGCTATTTTTAGGTTTTTCTTTGGTGCTTCACTCTTTGATGTAAAGACAGCTGTGTGCCCCTCACTCTTTATGTAGACTAAGCTTTTATTTCCACATTTAAACAAGCTGTCCATTGTTTTGATCACTCAGTAATCTTTTTCTGCATCTCTCGTGTTTGAATCCTTGTTAGTCATGGTGACTACAAGTGTCTGTGCTAATTCAGATGTGGCTCCGGTCCATATTCAGTAGCGTAAATATTTCCATATTTAAATTAAAATATCTCCTCTGATAGGCATTTAATGTAGCCATCCAAATGTATACAGTGGCTATGCCTGCCTTGCTGGCCTGGAGGCATGTCTGACTAGGCTTTTTGCTGTTTTTTATTTATGCATGAGTGGATGGTCATGTTGCGTATTTTGAAGAAACCAAACCCAACTTCAGTGCACTGAGTGCAGTTTACTTCTGAAAGTAAATTGTCCTGTGTCTCTTGTAAGCTACATTGGTTTTCCACAAAAGTGCCTGAGAATCCCCGCTCTGATAAAGTTCTCCCAGAGGTCTGCTAGCTGGCTTTTTATCCCTTTTCCTGTGCTGCTTTCTTTCTCGTCCTGCACTCCTCCATCTTCTCCTAGTTCCTCTTTTTTTTTATTGCTTCTAAGGTTTTGGAACATCTTCAGAAGTCTTGGTTAAGCAGTTATGTTTAAACCCTGGATTTAAAAGAAAATATTCTTACTTCCTTTTTCCTGTTACTGCACTTCTTAACTGTTCAGGACCGTCCAAAGACATCTCCTTCTGATAAAGAAAAAACTGCATTTTTAAGAAATTAGTTGTTACAGTGTTTAAATTTCTCATTTTCATACAGAACACCTGAAGAAACGCCTGGAAGATTATATGGCCCAGTTCCCAAATGTAAGAATCCTCCGAACCAAAAAGAGAGAAGGGCTGATAAGAACTCGAATGCTGGGGGCCTCTGTGGCGATAGGGGATGTCATCACCTTCTTGGATTCCCATTGCGAGGCCAACGTGAACTGGCTGCCACCTCTGTTAGGTAAGCAAGTGGTGCTGTACATGGCTGAAGACTGAACTGCTAAAGAGCTGGCGACAGATGTTGGTGTTGAATTTGTTTTATTTCCACCTGCTGCTCTCCCCTCATGCTGTAAGTGGTCAAAAGGAAGATGAAATGCCTGAAAAGGGAAAACAAACAAAAAACCCACCCAACTAAAAAACCAACCAACCATAAGACTTAGGTGAATTGTTGGCAACTTGTAGCCTTAAATACAATAATTTTTTTCTGTTCTAGAGTCCTGCACTGTACAATAATCCTATCATATGCTGTGCTTAATTAAAGAGCAGAGATCATATTCTTCTGTTTCCTCACTAAATGAAATCTTAAATAATTTACAGCTTGCTAGAAGAGTAAACTATCACATGGTCATTCAGCAGCTTGCAGAGAAGAATGGCTTTATGATATAGAAAAGACCTTTACATACAGTTTTTAAGTAGCTTTTGTTTTTTTTTTTCTCCTGTATAACTATATTTAACTTCATAGTCTGCAAGCCTGTGGAAAATTACTTCTTGTGAATGCCAGCTGCTGATACATATTTGTAGAACATGTGCAGTCCTTTCCAAGGCAGTGCTTCATCTTTAAGGAGGCATCAGTTTAACAATGTCAGTTCTTTTCAAGGATGATTAATTGAAAGGGCAGTGCCTTCTGTTTCTGGTACCTGTATGCCTCTGGCCGGTACCAAACTCCTTTACAACCCTATTGCAAGTGACCTGTCAAAGCTCTCTCTGAGGTGTGACTTTGTCAAATAAACTGTGGCAACAATAGTCAAGTGGAGGTTTAAGAAAAACTGGTCAGATTTGTCAGCAGAATTGTTGGATGGTAATACGGTTGCTTTCACTACAGTTTGTATCTGGCAATAGTGCATTTGCAGCTTCATGAGCCCCAGGGAGGGAGGACAGAATTAGCTCAAATGCCATTTAAATGAGAACACGTAGAGTATGCTTTAATATTAAAGCATAGAAAGGATTTCTGTTAGACGTGCATTGGAAGCTGAAACATCATTTGTCACCTCTGCTCTGAAAGTTAACTTCCAACAAGAGACCGTCTCAGTAATAAAGTATTTAAGAAGTTCCAGATGTTTATGCAGGAATTAATCCTGTCTTGTATTATTTGGTTGGAAGAAAAGGTTGAGGGGAGGAGGTACGCTTGCATTTCTTGAGCCTGCTGAGAGTAGTTATGCCATTAGTCTGAATTGCTTCCTGCCAGATTCTGGCGTAGCAATTAAAGCTAGGTGGTACAATGGGTTATTGCCCTGCCTTTGAATCAGTGCAGAAAGGGTTCACATCCCAATTGCTTGTTAATATGAGGACTGTTCACTAAGTACAAGATTGTCTGGTCTTATCCTGGTGGTTAAGGTATCTGTGGTAGTGTGGCTGTGTCTTTCTATTCTGCTTCTGGGTGGCGGTCACTGTAGCATGAGTGCCTGGTGGTTTTATCTCGATAGTTCGAGCTTGAATATCTCAATTATTGCAGAAATACCAGATAAATTGATATAAATTGGAGCATCTGCCTAAAAGAGAATGAACAGGAAGAAAGCTATGTCATTCTTGGACAACTTCATATTTTGATGCTCTTTTCTGTAATTTCATCGTCAAAGGAACCAACTGGTGCAGGTTTTCTAACATGTTTCTCCAATCTTCAGATCGCATTGCCCGAAACCGCAAGACTATCGTTTGCCCTATGATTGATGTTATTGATCATGACCACTTCGGATATGAGACTCAGGCTGGAGACGCAATGCGAGGTGCATTTGACTGGGAGATGTATTACAAGAGGATCCCTATTCCTCCTGAGTTACAGAAACTTGATCCCAGTGATCCCTTTGAGTAAGTTACTGAAATGCAGCGTGCTAAGAGCTGGCTAACAAAATAACACCCTGTTATAGGGTTGGTTTACACCGCAGTGCAGTAAAAGTCAGAAGCTGGTGTTAAGGTACTTGCTTTTTGGCAGCTGTTTGCTTTGTTGGTTTAAAAGAAATGCGTTGTATAGTAGCTATTAACGCTCTCCTTTTCTTTGCTATTTTTTGCCACATTAATTCCCGCAGAAGTTGATATTTCATTTAAAACTGTAATGTGTAACATTTAATGTGGTCATTTATTACTGAGATCTTTCAAACATAACTTAGTATCTCTAATGCTCTGCCAAAAACAACAAACCAATGGCGGCTTGTATGTCATTCCCAGGTGGGGGAAGAAGAAAACCTAGCAGAATAATTACAGCAATTTTGATGATTGCAATGCATTGCAGAAGTAAATCTGTGATCAAGTTATGTTCGGCTGTTGCTGTGCTTGCCAACATTGAGACAGTTCTGCTGCCCGTTATACTTCTGCAGTGTTCCAAAAAACCCCAAGGTCAAGCTTGATGACTTGATCGTACTATTGAGACAGAGCACCACATGTGCAGCATATGGGTCTCTCTGGGAGAGGTTATGTCCTGTCACTTAATGGTGCACTCTTTTGCCTGTTTGGAGGAGAGGCGTTGACTGGTTCTGAAGGGAGCCTAGTCTGGTCCTCCTCATTTGCAAGCGGGAAATTAGTAGATAATGCAAAAACAACTGTTTGATGCTCCGACAGGGCTGCAAAGGCACCCAGAACACTGGGTGGTGAAAAGAATATTTGTCAACTCTTGCTTTGTTTTTTAAATGTTTAGCTAGAGATCTGAATCTTTGAATATGTTTGTAATATGGAGTCTGGTTTTTCCTTAAGGTCTCCTGTAATGGCTGGAGGACTGTTTGCAGTCGATAGAAAGTGGTTCTGGGAGCTGGGAGGGTATGATGCAGGTCTGGAGATATGGGGAGGAGAGCAGTATGAAATATCCTTTAAGGTGAGCTATGTTCTCTGGAAATTACTTTTGTTTTGAAAAGTAAGAATTGTTCTGAGGTGCAGAATGTGAATGATCTATCTTGTCCTTGCTTTTGCGTGTGACTAAAGGTGAAAGAGCTGGGAGTAGTAAGATAGTACACAGAAGAAACGGCAATCATGTGACCAGTCATTTGTGAGGGTCAGTTTTGGAGCATGATTAGCTGGGGTGTCCCCTGTTCTGTGGTCACAGCTTCAGATGCATGTGCTCTTCCCAGCAAGGGTAAGTCAGGTTGCATGGAGCTCTCTCTGACTGTTAGGCTTCTTAGTACTCACCCTGGCAAGATGATGAAATACCCTCCTTCTTGAGGGAAGGAGGATTCAGGCAGCTCAGTGTTTGCCCAGTTGAGTACCTCAGTCCTGAGCTTGAGTTCTCAGAGATGAGAGTAACTTACTGTCTATAGTCAAGCCATCTGTATAGTCAAGCCATCTGACTCCTGGCTGCAAGGAACTGAGACTATTAATTACCCTGTAAGAAATCCTCAACAATTGGAATAATAAAGCTCTTGCTGGCAATGACTTCAGATCATTATCTGCCTGGCTTGGGGACAATTCTGCTACTTACTGATTGACCAAGCTGTTCAATTGAGGGCTTTAAAATAAGAGTTAGCAGTTAGCCAGCTGACCAGAAATGCGTACTAATAGTAACAAATCACTGCGACCCACAAAGACCACTGGTACCTGTGTTATCTTGGAATATGGCACTCTGAAATCCATTCTAGGAAACCCACTGGAATGTCCCAGACCACTGAAGGCAGGTGGCTAGTCTTCTCTTCAGTGGTGGGAATCCTTTCCATAGCCTGCAGCAAATCGAGAAAGATTTCTACGTTAAACTCTGTTTGGGCCACCGTGCGGTTTCTCTTTCAGATGTTGAATATGTAATCTTATAGGTGTCTGAATGCTACTGAACTAAGCTAGTTGGTCTCAGCACGAGGCTAGAAGATGGTAGCGATGCTAACGTAGTGCACAATTTAGCTTTGGCAGCTAAAATTCCTCATCTGCCTCCCTAACAAACAAGTCATGGCTGTTCTCTCACAAAAGAGATTCCTAATTCTTGATGCCACTATGCAATTCAAAGGCATATCAAACTATATTCAGCAAGCCGTGTTACCATACATACACACCATGTACTACTGTACAGCAAACAATGCAAGAAAAGACATTGTTTTCAAGACAATGTATTTTCTTCCATTGTTGGCTCACAGAAAACCTAAGTAATAAAGTCACATTGGAGGTCCTTTGTCCTCCGTAACAGTAGCAGGAAGGATGGGGGGGCACCCTCTTTGGAGATGTCATTACAGTTAGAGCCATTTATTCTTTGTGTTGCACGTAATGAAATTGTGTAACAATGTCATTCTCTGCAGGAGGAGCGGTGGCAGTATTCAGCTTCTTTTCCTTGGCCCTTTTTGAAAATGCAGGTTTCCAAGAGTGATGACAGTGGCTGGGCAAGCCCTTTGTCTCCAATGCCACAGCAGACAGTCACACTGCTTGATCTGCAGGAAATAAGACTACTTCATTCATCTGTTTGCTTATCCTCTCTGAAACACACTGTGTTTTATTTCAGTCCAGAGATGGTAATTTATGGAGGGATAAATTTGCTTTAATTAATCTCTGCAAAGACCCCCTTTTTTCTTTCGTTGTGCAACAGAAAAATGAAGTTTTAACTGAAAGAGGCTCAGTGTATTTTCAGAAATTAAGATAAATTGATACATTCATCTGTAGCTGATAGATTTAATAATTCTGCTGGAATTGCAAGAATAGAAGGTTTGTTCATAGAATTTATGAAGCTATGACATTTCCTGGCGAGCTTAGAGCTACATTTTTACCTTTAGAAGCAGACTGAGATTTTGTAGTTAAAGGGGCACTGTCAAATAATTTAAAGCTCTGGGTTTAGACATGGGGTACCTGCTTTCACATTATTTATTATTTAATGGGAATTCAGATTATAAGTGTGCCAAATTTACAGCCTGGCTTTAACAAAGAATCCATTTCTGTGCCTGGGAGTTGTGGGTGCAGGTACTCTTTTGTAATACTGGTCTTTGATCCATTGCATCATGTCTGGCCTTCTCGAGCCTCACGAGGAGTGTATTTTTTTTTTTTTACCTTAAGCATATTCCTTTTTGGCCATGTATGGACTGTGCTTTGCAGTTTTTTGCCTTTATTTTAAAATCCAGGGTTCTGTTGCTGAGACACTTGAAATAAGTTTATTTAGGAGCCTTTTGCCTTTCTGTTTTGAGATCATATGTATTTGTGTCATCAGCTGGCTCTGCTTCCTTCTGAGAAGGAACTTTCAGGTTGAAGGCAAGCCAACAGCGAAACCATCAGTGTTTAGCACCTCAGAAAACATTTAGCCAGAGGATGGATCAAACTCTATTAATAGAAGCCTTGGTCCTTGTATGAAATGTGTACACCAAACATCACTAGAAAACATAGCATGCTGGAGGGACAAAAAAATTCAGGTGAACTTTAAATTAGAAACAAACTTTCTAACCCTAACTGCTGGTTTGTAGTTTTCTGAGTCTTCTCAATCCCTTAAAACAGAAATTTCTAGATTAGAAATGAAGGAGTCGATCTATCCATTCCATATTCAAGCAGAAAATATGTGCTTCTTCCTTCTCTTGACCTGTGTATATCGCAGAATAGCTCAGTGCCTGTAACCCAGTACTTCTACAGATCAGGGGTCTTCCTATTTCAGGTCATCATCAGATGCAACAGGAAGATTGCAGTCTTGAATTTTAGTTGCAGGCATTACACCTGTTCAAATGAGCCTCATTTTTTCATGAACCTGGCTTGCAGAATGCTCCAGGCAAACTGATCTGCAGATCTGCGTGGTGTAAGAACCGTTCTCCTCCATCTCGGTGGATTACCAGATGCTGAACTTTGAGTACATTCTTGTATTTTGGAGAAAGGGAAACAAGCGCGCTCAGCTATTTCTGTGTGGCACTTGTTACCTTTCCTTTCTGCTGCCCCTGATGCTATAGCCCTAGTTTCTCTGTTCAGTGGACTTTCTGAGGGCTTTTTTTTCCTTTTTGGGAGTCACTTCCATACCTCTCTCCTTTATAGTTTTTCTTAGTCTTTTGTATCTTTCTGCAATGCTTGAAAGTTCAATTCAAGTATTCAAAATTGAATACTTTACCCAAAGTGACAATGTGTCTTTCCTCTTCTAAACACAACTTAATAGCTATGATTTTCTGAATGCTCCTGAATTCTCAAAAAATACCTACATTCTGCTGCCTACATAACCACTTCATTTTCTTTGAGATTAATGTATTTAATTCAGAGCAGTATATATGAAGCATTTAAACTGTTCTTTTCTGCAAATGCTACTTTGTACAGCATTTATCTACGCTCAGTTTTATTTGCGATGGTGTTGCCTCTTTTCCAGTATTTTTGAAGCTTCTATTCTGTTTGGCTTATATAATCCTCACTAAACTGCTTCACGCCTCTCTTCCATAAATACATAGTCTCTGATTTTTTGGGTATGGGGAAACAGAGGAGGAAAAAGTGATGTCTCTGACTTGTATAGGCATAAATATAGATGTGCTTGGTACCTCGGATCTTGAGTGGTGTGGTTCTCAATCCTTTAATTATACATTGTACTTCAAGAGCAAAGAATGAGAATCTGGAATGTCCCTCACTAGGTGATAGATCATTTCAGTTTTAGAAACGTTTTTCTTGTAATTTAGAGATTGTAAAGCCTTCATAAAATTTGAAGGTCTTGGTGCAAACAAGCCATATCGACAGTTGCCCTGAAAAGAACAATTAAGGGGAGACAAGAGATGGGCAGTACTTGTGGTCTTCACTCCTTGCTTCACCAATAGGAAATATCCACTGCACTTATTCTGGTGATCCTAGATCATTACATTTTTCTAGATCGTTTTCCCAAAGCATCAACAGGGATTGCTTCTCCTGTTTCCCATAGCATAAAACATATTACATGTTTTCCAACAAATCCAAAGTCTCCACAGCTTCTGTTCACATATCTAATGCATGCATCTCCTTTGCCCCATGTCAACAGCATATTTCCAATTCACATTTTGCCACTGGCCTCCTGGCAGGTGTGTAGTTAGGGTGCAGCTGCCAAGAGGTCGCTTCTGACAGCATTTCTAGTTGTATTGCTGAAGTTAGTGCTGATTGTGAGCCTTCACTGCTTATTCCAGGCACATATTCACACCACTTTCCAGCAGCTCACGTTTGCCCACACTGAAACAGGCCGGGCATTCTGCTGCTTTTTTTTGTGTGGTTTTTTTTTTAAGCCAGCACATGCTGCTTAATTCTAAGGCTCTCAGCTGCGGTACAGGGTGGCTTCTTTCTCCCTTCCTATCTGGTGATGCAGAGATCAGTTTCAGACCATTGACCTGAATTTTTGGCCTCTGTTCACCCTATGTGCTTGGTTTAGGTTCCAGAGTAGCCTCCCACCAAGCAGCAGCAGGAAAAAAGACCCCACCCCACCGCTCTGAAACGTGATTATTGGAAAGTGCTATCATTACTCTAAAATGCTCCAGACGGTAAGGAGGGGCCATGCTGGTATATGTTGTGTGAGAGAAGGTGTTGTGCAAACACATAGATCCCAGTCCCTTTTGAGCTACCTTAATCTTTTATAGAGCAGTAAGTCCCAGCTGCAATAGCAGCTGATGCTTACAATACAGAGATTACGATTTTCCTGAATTACTGGTTACCCTCGCTTTCATCCTCTCACCCACCTTGTTATGCAGAGAACGCCCTTGACTTACCCACTGTGTCCTTTTCTTCCCACCTTTCAGTGTTTGCTCAGACAATCAGCCAGCTTCTCTCCATTGGTCCATCCTATGGTCTTTATTTCTCTTGTGGCTTGCAGAAGCAGCTTTCTTTTCAAGGCTTGACTTTTTCCTTTGTGGTTTTTTCCTCTCTTGGGAAGCATTGGCTCATCATGGTGCAGTCTTTGGAAACCATAAACCTTGTATACCCAGATAATTTGTGTTCACACACCAACTGTGGTATCGTGTTGTGTGTTTGAGAGGAGAAGTTCAGCTGTCTTACGTGATATTTTTTCTGAAATAGCAGAAAGGGAATTGGCTCATTCCCATGTAGAGAATATGTGGCATATTATCTTGTGCTTTCATAGCACACTAGCTGAGTCAAAGGCTCTTGAGTCGCTTTATGAATATGGAGTTACAGCTCTCTAGACCACTGAGAAGATGGAAGTAATATCACCGGTGTTATTATTTGACTTCTCTTGTATATGGTTTTATTATTAGGGTGAGATTGTGGCCTTAGAAAAATCTGTTGCAGTATGCTCACTGACCTCAGCATAGCCAGGTTTTCTCTTAATTCCAGCAGATCTGTCAGCTGCTAGATTCCTAGCTCAAATTGTAGATTGGTAAAATTCTGCCTGAGGAGGAAGAGAAATTTCCTGTTCTCTCCTAATGAGATCTGATTAGATCATTGTATAAAGCACTGCCTGCCTGACCAGCTTTAATTCTTGTTCTTAAGGCATTCTAGTAAATGGCTGATTGAAATTAAGTGCCTCAAGTTCAGGCTCTGGTGTTTACTGTTGTGTCAGCCAGGGAGATGAGGCACCATCTCACCCTTCTGTAAAACAACAACAAGAAGAAGAAACTGGCTCCCCTGGCCTAAGGAGAACACAGTAAGTGACAGTCAGTGTCACCGTGAAGGCACAAGGTGCTGCCCCACAGAACAGCACTGTTTCAGCTGTTTGATAGCGCTGGGTTTTTAGCAGTGTAAGTTCTGGTGTGTCATGCCTGTGAACTGTACCCTTGTTTAAAAACAACCAAATATTGCTAACTGAGCGGAAGTGTTCTCTCAGCTAGCATGCAGATATTGTGGGTTTGCTTAACTTGCAGTTATTCCTTGACAGACCCTTGGATGTGATTCCCCTGACCTTTAACTCTAGCTTTCTAATGCTTTTGTTAGCTGTGTTTCCCTCTCCCCCTTCTTCCAGTTTTATAGATAAGGACTGGTAATTGTCTTTATGGAGGCTGTAATGAGTTCTGTCACCACACAAAGAAGCTCACTAATAAAATAAATCAAAGCAGCAATGAATGAATGGAAAGCATGCTTTTAAAATTAGATTTGTACTGCAAGTGCCACACTGTCACTTGCAGCATGAGACAATGTTAAAAAGGCACTGAGTTGGCAAAGTACCTTGAAAGGGTCACTGAGCTCTGCTAGCAGGAATTAGGAAGCTTTCTGTTGCCTCCACGCAGCACTGGTAATTGCGGCACCATTTGGGAGTAAATATTTTAAAGCATGATTAGGAAAAGAGCACGTAAAACTGATCTTAGATTTCACTTGTTCAGTAACTCAGTTAAGTAGCTTTTCTTATCATATCATTACATGTGTTTATGTAATATCGTCTTCCATGCCTGGAGTCTTGTACCAGGTTGGAGCTCTTGGCCCAACATATCATCTGTTCTGTCTAGCTTCCCGTACCCCCTGCCTCTCCAATGTACCACTCAGTAGATAAGTGCTGTCCATTGCTTCACAAGATCTGCAGTGCAAGGACAGTGCTCTCCTCTCTAGCTGCATACTGACTGCAGGGGTCTGTTTCTCACGTTACTTAGGGAAGTCGTGTTTTCAGAGGAGATGTGTATTCAGTGGCCTGACTGAAAGCCCTTCCGTAGAGATCAAGGGCAGGTAAGGCATCCTGTGGGCAGGCAGCAAGGATAACAAGCTACTGTTTTCATTCAGGCTTGTGTTACACTAAAACGCAGCTGCTTGTGAACCAATAGGGCTCCCATGGGTGCAGTGCACGGGGTAAGAATATGGGTTGTTGAGGAGTGTGTGTGTCTATGCAACTGAGCTCTAGGCTTCTTCAGCTGTTCCTGCAGGTTTTTATAGTTCCCAGATCTGTTGCAGCTCTTACAGCCTTGCACAAACCATTTCTGTCATAGAAACACAAAACATCCCCGAATTCTTGTTTTCTCAGTCTACCTGTTTATTTCCTAGCAGAGAAATCACACTGTGGCTCTCTGCAGCAAAAAGCACAGCAACTACAGAATAAGAAGCATTTCTAATTCCACTAGAAACTTCACAGAATCTGAGTGCTGGTTTCTTTTTTCATCTTCATCTCTTCTGTAGCAGCCTCTCAAGACACAGCAGGGACAAAAGGAATGAAATTCTGTAGAAGGAGTGTTTGTCAACTTTCTTCTTGTCTCTCTCATCATAACGACATGTAATTAAGTACCTTGAACTTTAGAAGTTGCCTGTGAAAAATTTTCCTCTAACTGAGAGCAACCAACCTCCATTAAGTTATACGCAGTCAGCAAATGACTGTAATTATTAGGGCCAGTAGACAGAGCTGAAACTCCAGAGGACTTTAGTGTCAGAACTAATAATTATGCAGCAGCCTTGGCCAAATATTTCGCTTCCAAGCTAAGTATTTAATATTGTCACTGTAGAATATTAATGGAATTGCCTGCTATGTGTGAAGCTGTTGACTAAGCTCATTGTACGGTGAACTGCGGTGGCTCAAATTAGCCACAGTGAATGGAGAGATCAAGAACACTGCATCAGCCTGCAGCACCAACGGACCTTCTTAAATACTGCTGCCTTCGGGGCATTAACATAAGATCTGGGGACAAAATGAAGGGCAAGACAGTGTCGTGCTTCAAGAGTTCAGAAAGTCATTTGTTTTGTGTACTGAAGGATACTTTAAGTGTTGATTAGATATCTATGGGTAGCACATATGAATATATTTCTTAAACCTAATGAAGTAGATTGTCTGGTTCAGAAAACATCTCCTTTGGTTTCACTTGGACAAAATGATTACATCCATGCCATAAATAAGGAGTAAAAGAAAGTTGTTACAGAGTATTGCACAGAGTACAATCTTCCCAGATGGGGAAAGAAACTTCTGGGCCTAAGGTAGACATTAACCAAGCATCAAGGTAGTCTTCTTCAACTAGCAGTGTGTTCCAGTGACTTTCTGAGGGCTTTTTCTTTTTTAAACCTAATTATGTTTTCACCAGGCAGGGATTTCTACTTAATTGTAAGGCTGCAAAAGCAATGAGTGTGTGTTAGCAATGAAACCATATGAGAGCAGGGATAACCACGGGAAAAAGTAGCAGTTTCTTCTCGTTTCTGGCACTTGAACAGGCTCATGAATTCCCTGGAATGTTTTGCATGACACATGACCTGTACTACAGAGATGGCCTCCCTTTTACAGCAACATTACACAACCTATACCCAGGTCTTATATGGCAGTCCAGTTTAACTGTTGTGGTTATGATTGCTGTAATAACATATTGCAATTTAAAGTGTGCTGTGTGCTGTTCCCTGGGTGCTTGGATTTTTTTTCTGTTCTTTCCTCTACAGAATGCAAAATTGAAGTGTTTAGCCATTGGGTTTGATAGCATTGGTGCTAAATCAAGGCTTGCTGCATGGCTCTAAGCAGGTAGTTATAGGATTTGAGACTAAGGCAAGGAGGGGAGGGTATTTGGGAGAGAGTGTACTTTAAAGTAAAAAATCTGGGTTAAGGTTTTTCATGACTTGAAAGTCTTTCTTTTTCTTCTCATTTTTCTCCATATAACCAAGAGTGAATCTGTATCTCTGCTGTTCCGCAGGTATGGATGTGTGGAGGTCGCATGGAGGACATCCCTTGCTCTAGAGTTGGTCATATCTACAGAAAATATGTTCCATACAAGGTTCCAACAGGAGTCAGCCTAGCGAGAGTAAGTGGCAATGGCATTCCCCACGACAGATGTCTGACTGCAATGTGACCATGCTGTTGTCTCTTCTCACCCCACAATGGGAGACAAATGTAGGCTTTGTAGTCCATAAATTGTACTTGTACAGTGGTCAAATTGAGCAGTTTTGCAGTGGTGGATGTGTAGCACAAAGGGGAGAGAGCCTAGCGGAGCTGCAGACTCATGTGCAGACAGCTGCCATGCTCCAGACGTCAGCCATTGCTAGGTGTTGGGAAGGGACTTTGCAATCAGGTGCTGGCTATGGAATCACCAATAAAAACAAGATATGGCTTTATTTGTATAATACTTCAGTCGTTTTATAGCTGTGCTTTCCAAGAGCAGCAGGCTTCAGCGTGGTGATGTGTTTTGGTGATTGAAAGACCTCTCAACTTCAAGCATCACAGACCACTGAATGGGCAAGCTGTAATTTTCCACGATGGAATGTTCTGTGCCATGTTATTTCTTAATCTAGTGTAGCCCAGAGAGGCAAGAGCTTTTGCCTATCGTGCACTAGCTTTCTGCAGTTAATTTCCAAACTGAGAAGGGATTGTATTGCCCTCTGGTGGGAGAAAAAAGTCAGGAGCAGGAAGGCTGCAAAACTAAAAAACACAAAAAGGTACACTGCTGTTCTGCAGTCTTATGGCTTGCACAGTGTTAAAATGTTTCCCAGTTTAATAGCATCGCCCTAGTTATAGATTTGGATTTATTACTCAGCCCAGCAATGACCTGTCAGAGCGATAGAGTGCTCTCCTGTCTGTGCCATCTCTTCAGGAAGGAGCTATATTTCTTTTGATTCAGTATTTGGTTCTTGCATACACCCGCAGTGCTGGAAGGAGATGGCGAACAGATGTAGGAAAGGCTGTATCTTGGCATCTAAGATCGTATGGTCATCCTGAGATGAACACCTGCTCTTGTTGTGTATAGGCTGCATTTGGGGCAGGATCAGCACGTTGCTCGTTCTTAATGTCCTAATTTTTTTGATAGTAAATGACCACTGCTGGACTGACCACCTTCATGCAAGGTGGGCAGTGCTGCTGGGTCACTGAAGTCATGACTGCACATGGCACGTTACTGTGTGGCACCAAGAATGTACCTGATGTTGCCAGAGAACAGTCCAAGGTCCAACGGTCTCTTGAGTGTGTTGTGACAAGCAGTAGGGCGGGTATCTCGAGAGGGTGGTGTTCATTGCTGTCTTGGAATTACACAGTGGATTAAGCTTTACAGCGATACGTGAAATATACTGCTGCCAACAAGTAAACCCTTTGCTTCTATTCTGAAGGGTCATCACCTGAAAGTTCCATATTCCTGCAGTATCTCAGAGTTTCTCTTAAACAGCTTTTTACCCAAGAAAATGGAAAAATAGTGGTAAGAAAGAATATTGTGAACTGAAGCTTTCCAGAAAGGACTACTGCAAATCCCATTCTTAGATGGATATAAAAGATGCAATAAGAAGGATTTAAGAAAGCAGCTTTTTGTCAGGGACCTTTGAATGTCCAGTGGTATTTACCAGCATCATTTTCTGACTATCTTCTTTACAGGAAAAAAAGGAAAAAAAAAAACAACTTTTGATTAATGTTGTTTTTCTTAGCCACAAGGAACTAGATATAATGGCCAAGTGCCAGGATTCTGTTTTGACCTCAGCTGAAAATATCTTTCTAAAAGTCCCTTGGAACTAGAGAATAATAAAAATAATCTTCGTCCTGAAGCTGGAGAGAAAGAGTGGATGTGAATGAAAATCCTTTCTGAGCAAAAACACGAGAGCTGTTCTGAATGCTAATGTCAGTAGTTTGTGCAGAGTGTTCTCAGGTCGTTTTCCCTCTCATTTTCACACGTGGCTGTTACCCACACAGAACTTGAAGCGGGTAGCTGAGGTGTGGATGGACGAATATGCAGAGTACATATACCAGCGTAGACCAGAGTACCGGCATCTTTCTGCAGGGGACGTCGCAACTCAGAAGGAACTTCGCAACAACCTCAACTGCAAAAGCTTCAAGTGGTTCATGAACGAGGTCGCATGGGACTTGCCAAAGTTTTACCCACCAGTGGAGCCTCCAGCAGCTGCTTGGGGAGAGGCAAGTTTGTGCTCTGAAATCTGCAGTGGGCAAACAGGCTGCGGTTTGGTTTTTTTAAAGTTGCCTTACCCACGTGTTCCAGTACCGGTTTGCTGTGAGTAAGGTGGCAAACAGGTGTTTAAAGATCCTGCTTGATATGTTTCAAAGATCAGAACTCCTCTACATTATATTAGCCTGATCAAAGAAGGTAGGTAGGCAGCCATTTCTATTAGTGCGCAGCTACAAAGAGAATAGAGACTTGGCTTGTTCTGCATGTTGTGTATTTAGTAGAAGGCAGAACATGCCAACAGGGAGGACTAGGGAGAGGTGGCAGCTGAGCAATAGTAGGAATCTTGCATTTCCAAAGGACTACACAACTGTGCTGAGCTACTCTGCTCCTTAGCTTTCCCATCTGAAAGCCAGGAAAACCATCCCTGTTTTTGAAAGTCAGTTGTGTTCTGGGAAAAGAATCACCCCAGGAGTGAAGTTGTGGATTGTTACACGCAACAACATAGTGGGCTCTGCAGTCCTGTAGCTAATGGGTTTTGCTGTGTCCTGGAGGTTATTGTACAGCTGGTGCTGTGTCCCATTTTGAGTTCCTGTGCTTTCTTCTAGCTGTTTTCTGCCAGCTCAGATACATAGTTAAGTGAGGAATCTTAAAACTGTCTTCATACAAATACTGCTACTATCTGAGGCAATTTAAGCCTTCTTTCCTGTCACTTGGACAGAGTAGGAGATTCAGTGACTAATTTACTATTTCAGATACGCAATGTAGGAACTGGACTGTGTGTGGATACTAAGCATGGAGCCCTGGGATCCCCACTGAGGCTGGAAAACTGTGTGAAGGACAGAGGAGAGGCAGCATGGAACAACGTGCAGGTAACAGCCCCTCTGATAAATCATCGGCCCCTAAATAAATTTGGGGAGGGACAAGTTATAAGAACAAATGTTTGAGAAGGAAGGCCATTGCAGAACTATGTCAGGTGAACAGAGGGTGCTGTGCACCCCGAGGCTCATGTGCTAATTATACTTGATGGGTTTGTAGCAGGATGTGGCTTGTGCTTGTGGCAGGGTCTGGAGGCTGGCAGACTTTGCAGAGCTTTTACCTCCGCTTTGAAGTTCTCAGGGTGAACAAAAGAAAGCACAAGAAAACAATATGCCAAGATAATAAAAGAAACCAGTAACAAGGCAGCTGTAATATGTAACAAAGTGAATATTAACTTCAAAGGTTGTGCTGAAAGAAGTGATAGAGGAGCATCATGCATATTAATGAACCTGCAGGAGCATTCAATAACCACTTACTATCATCCTTCTGACAGGAGGCAAATGCATTATAAACACCCAGCCATTGCTGGAGAGAGATGAAACCGGCCAGGCTATAGATTCACCCTCTCAACATTATAAGGTGCCAGAAACGACAGCTTTATTGTAACAGAAGGGAAGGAAATATTAGTTTGTCTAAACTGTAGCAGCTGAGCTGAGAAAAGATCAAGAAAACAATGCCTCTATTACAGAGTCATGCATAACTCTTCAGGGGAATGGCTTTAGTAGTAGGAGACAGAGGGTTGTTGCATATCAATTTTGATGCATGAAAACTAGAAACAAAACCAATTTACTCAGGCACAGTCCAAAACTAAGCTTCTGTTGTGTCAGGAGGATCTTGAACAATTAGTGTTGGCTTATGTTTAGGAGAATGTGTTTTGAACTTCTGTGTAGCATTGAGCCTAAATGATTGTGGTAATTCCTCTCCCAAGAGAGACAGAAACAAAGTAGCTTCTTTGTGCAAAAGTTTTTGGCCACGCTGCTTCAAATAGTAGCACTCTGCTCATTACTGGTCTGTCTTACTGCCCCATGAGGTCTCTCTGAAGAGAAGACCATTCCTCCACCGGGCTCCAAAAGGAGCCCCCAGAACAGCCCTTCCCCTCGGGGACTGAGAGAGAGGCGTGCTGGCTAGTAGCTCTGCAGAACCACGTTGGCTAGTGCTGGTCACAGAGGACACTTGCACCCTTGCTAGAGATGCTGTCCTTGTCAAAGCAGAAAGCAAAAGCTTGACAGCAGTGCCTGCCTTTAAACAAGTTTATCTTTTGTGGGATTCAGTCCTACGATGCTTAAAACATGTCATAAGCAAGCCATGATCATCAGACTGAAGATGCAGCTTGACCACGCTACTGTCTCAAGCTGTGGCCAAAAGCAAATGCCACAGGGGCAGTGCAAGGAACAGAGCACGCGTGTGGTGGTACTTCCACTGACTGTCCTCCTATGGTCCAATCCCTGTGGCTTGGGGATTTCCAGGCCACATGTGCTGGCATCCAGCAACTTTCATCAAGGCCACAGCATTGCCAGGCATTGACAGGTTGCACCTAGTTACTAGAGCTAAAACCCTTTCTCTTCTTTTCTGCAGTATCCCTCCTTTCATTTCACCCGAAAGTGCTGAGAGATCATTGCAGGGTCAGTAGCAGAGAGCACCAGAAAGCATTGCTCTAGTGATTGCCCTTCTGACACTCCTGTGGAGTGGGGTGGGGAGCTGCGGGCCTCCTGGTCTCTTGTCACAGAAGGCGTGGGACAGACTCTTCTCAAGGTGACTGCAGGCTGCCTGTGCAGACTCGGGTATTTACTGCCAGCTTTAACTCGGAGCTCCTGTAGCTCTTTTTTGCTGGCTGTGAAATGCTCTAATTGGTCAGCTGCTCACTTAATCCATGATGTATGTCTGCATTGCAGAGACATTCAAGGCTGCTATTAGTACCCAAGCTAACTAGCACGGCTGTTTGCAGCAGCACAGTCTCATTTAGCATGCTGTGTGGCAGTCCGCGGGGTAGCTGTTACAGACTCCCCTAGTCAGCAGTCCCTGTCCCCAGAGGTGGAAGTAGTTTTTCTCTAGAAGATACTGTCCTTTCCCTGAAGCCATCCCCACCCTGTGGGCAAAGAAGGGAACATCGTTCTGCTGGTGAAAGCACTGTGCGCAACACCAGCCATCCCGAGAGTCCTGTTTGTCCTGGCAGGTATTCACGTTCAGCTGGAGAGAAGACATCCGTCCTGGGGATCCTCAGCACACCAAGAAGTTTTGTTTGGATGCCATTTCCCACAGCAGCCCTGTGACCCTCTATGACTGTCATGGAATGAAGGGGAACCAGCTCTGGAGATACCAAAAAGTGAGTGTGTGTGCGTGCACGTGTACACATATGCTCGTTTAAGGTGTCAAATTGCTTGTAGGCACTTAAGTTTGCTTAAAGTGTCACCACTCATGTTTTATTCCTCTGTTCATGTATTTGTGGTAAGAGAATCTTCAGGCAATCTGTTGTCATTGTGCCATTAATTACCCTTGATTAGAAAGAGGTGACTCCTCTCTTCCCACTGGTTAGAAATGGTGAGGGCGAGGGCTGCTTCTCCAGGGCTTGCTAAGCAGAAGTACACTCTCTCCTTGCAGTCCTGTCCACAGCTGGCAGTGAGGTGATGCAACACCCTTGCAAAACCTGTTTGCAGAGAGGTGTGCTGTGTTTATTGGTTTGTTCTGAATAGTAGATGATCATGCCAAAGGTAGATAAGGATTTATTCATCCTTCTACTAAGCATGCTTTTGTGGCCAACGGGTAAGTAAATTCTTGACTAAATGCCCTGTCCTAGTCCTTGCAATCTGCATGCACAGCACCTCGGCGTGACTGCAGCAGGATGTGAGCCTGTAGGCTGGAGAACCTGGCTTCAGACATAGCTTTTGAGCTTCCTAGAGCAGATGTGAGGATTGTGCTGAATACTGTTGCAAGGGGTGGGAATAGACCCTGACACTTGCCAACTGGTTAAGTGTGGAACAACTTTTTCAGGTACATCCAAGTGCCAAAATAGCTTGCCTTGTTTTTTAAGACTTCTTTCTGTTGGTTTTGAAATAGCTTTGCTTCTCTGCTTAGCAACCTCACATGAAATTTCTCTTCTCCAGGACAAGACCCTCTACCATCCAGTAAGCAGCAGCTGTATGGACTGCAGTGAGAGTGACCGAAAGATCTTTATGAATAGCTGCAATCCTTCATCTCCAACACAGCAGTGGATATTTGAACATACAAACTCAACTGTCTTGGAAAAATTTAACAGAAATCTTGATCTTTAAAAGACTGAGAAAAAATATATATATTTTACAATTATAGTTTTTACTGGGGAGGGTTACAAAAATTTTTTTAAGAATACTTTTTTTTAAACAGTTAATGAAGGTAAAAGGGAGAATCTCAGGAGAAGGTTAACTAGCAGGCCAGTCTTTATTGTGAAGATGCTGCATCCTTCTCTTCTGGGGATGGTGGAATTTTAAAGGCTTTGCCAGAGCCACTTCTGTGCTGAGACTGAACAGAAACTCTGTTTTTAGAGGAGTCTGAATGTGATTCAAACTGCCTTTTTTTTTTTTGCTTTTTTTGTTTTCTTTTATTTCCCACCTGGGTCTGGTGTTAAATGATTTTGTTATCTGGGACCCTCCAGGACTTTTGTAGCTGCTATACTACCCGCTGAAGCGTTCCCACAAAGGTGCTTTATCTTCCAAAGGCCATCTAAGTAAAATCTTGAGCACAAGGCTTAATCCTCAGATGTCATAGACATCAAAAAGAAAAAAAAGGCCATCAAAATGTAAAATGAAATGAATATTTTTTTTGCCCTAAATGAAAATATGTTTCAAACAGGTTGAGTATTATTACTTTCCAAATCATAGCTCTGATAAAGGAATGAGCTCTAGTGGAAGTGCAGCCAAGTGTTGGGAGTATCGCTGTAGTTATTGGCGATGAGAAATCTGGGTTTCTGGTCCATTCACTTTGCAGTCAGTTTGTCACTCACTGTTGAATCTTCAAGGTCAAAGATTAGCAGAGGGTTTTTAAGTAAGCACACTTCTTAAAGATGAATATTTTTGCTAAGAGCCTTTGGATATCAGGTTCCAAATTTGCCTCTTATTCAGAATGTTTTTAGCACGGACACATAGTGAGACCAGTTTTTCTCCGGGTACTCAGCCCCCTGAGCTGGAAGGCAGGGACAGGGAGCAGAACGAAGCCCCCATAATCCAAGGGGAAATGGTTAGCAACCTGCTACACCACTTAGACACACAGAAGTCTCTGGGGCTGGATGGGATCCACCCAAGGGTACTGAGGGAGCTGGCGGAGGAGCTTGCCAAGCCACTCTCCCTCATTCCCCAGCACTCCCGGGTTCAC